TTATCTCTGCAGCGTTTGGCATTGTTGACCATGTTTTCATTTGTAATACTCTCTCTCTCCTCCTGGTTCCCCAATCTCCTCATTTTCCTCCTGACTTTCTGGCTGTTCTTTTCATAGGTTCCACTTCTACTAATCTCTAATATGCTGATGTACCTTAGGGCTCTGTCCTTGACCTTCCTCTCTTATAGGTCTATATACTCTCCCTTCACCACCTTACCCATAGACAGGACTTCAGGGAACACCCATATTCTGACCATTTGAAACCTTTATCTCCAACTCTGATCTCTTTCCTGGCCTTTAGACTCACATGGCCTGATGTTCACCTGGACATCCCATCATCTCCTCACTCAGCAGGTCCGAACATCATTCACTGTACCTTCAATATCCATTGTCTTCCTATTCCTTTATCTCAGCAAATGGCACCACCATCCCCCTTAATACTCAAAGCCAGAACAGTTCTTTCCAACACTTCCTTTTCCAGTCAATGCTGGGTAGGTAGCTGATCACATATGGAGCCACTTCCCTCCACCATCACCTCACATGGCACCACCGTTGTGCCGATTAGCCTCACGGTCAAGGCTGAGACTGGTAGGCACCAGCATTTAGGGAATGAGCAGAGGAAGAGAAGCCTACATACTGTGTGAGTGGGAGTTGGGGGTGGCACAGGTAGGATAAATCAAGGAGGATGTTGGGTCTGGATAATACAATATTTTTAAAGAGTATTTCCCTCCTTTCAATCACCACACTTGTTATCATCATGAGCTTTACAAAAAGAATATCTGAGTTTACTCCTTTCTTGTTTAAAACCATTTAATGGGTCCTCATGTGGCACAGAATGACACAGGCTCCTACTCATTATCTCATCTTTACCCATCCCTAAGTCTGCTTACTTTAAACTCTAGCCTTACTGAATTAGCTTTGGTCTCGGGCCTGTTCCATGCCTTCTCTGGCATTCTGACATTTTCACTAGTGCCTCCATCCTGGGGAAATCATCCCCACTCCCACCTGCTTTGATTGGATTACTTTTTCCTTTTTGCCTCCATATACCCCCAATAAGTTCCTCTGCTTATTAGTGTATCCCTCACAGATCTACAAAGCCCTTGAAGCCAAGAGGATGATTCTTTTATTATAATTTATTTTATTTTACCATCTGGGAAGTTCCAGCCATCAGCAGTTCCAGTGCAATTTCAGGTGCAATTGGGAATTCAGGAATCTCAGTGGAGCTGTGTACACTTTTGATAGCACATGTGAAGGATCTCTCTAAAACTGACCTCAATGGTTTCATTTCTGGCAGACTGACTTGGGCCATTTTAGTGTACGTTCTCTTTTTACAACATATTCATGACCATCAGAAGATATCAGTGTGACATAGATGGCATCAGGGTCTTCACCGCCACTATAGGTTTTCTCCTCTCTATCCATTACGTTTTTATAAAATTCAAATGCAGTTCCACAGGAACATTAGTAGTTTCTCTCAGTCCCCTGACCACTGATGTCACATCCCCTCAAACAATTGCAGCCCCAACTCCAGGACCTCCAAAGAGGATGATTTTTTAACTGTATTTCTTGTATTGGTGATACTCTCCACCATGCCCCTCTTGACTTCCATGACAAAGTATTTCTCAGGTTGTGTACATTCCTGAAAGCTGCTCCCTTTTGTCACTTGCTATCCTGTCCCTCTTATCCTTAAACTGAAAGTTCCATCCTCAATCCTCTTCTCTTGATGCACTTTTGGTTATCTACTCTCCTTTTTTTTTTGTACTGGAGATTGAACTCAGGGGCACTTGACCACTGAGCCACATCCCCAGCCCTATTTGATATTATTTAGAGATAGGGTCTCACTGAATTGCTTAGTGCTTCACTGTTGCTGAGGCTGGCTTTGAACCTGCAATCCTCCTGTCTCAGTCTCCTGACCTGCTGGGATTACAGGCATGCGCCACCATGTCTGCCTACTCTCCTGTCTTTTACTCCAAAATTCATGAGTTAACTACCATCAGATCTACATCTCCAGCTCACAGCTCCCTCCTGAGCACCAAGATCCTCCTCAATTGCCTGCTGCTCATCCCCTTTGGGTATCCCATCTCAACTGGACATGTCTTCACAGGACTCTTCTCCCTCCCCAAACCAACTTCTCCTATTTCTATTAATAAAGCTATAATTCTCCTTGTCAATCAAGTTCAAAATGATTTTGAACAGCCCCATCCTTTTCTTCCTTGTGCCCAGTTAGCCCTCAAGCCCAAAGTAAACTCTTCTTTATTATTGTTTTTCACAGTTCTTTCCATTCTTACCATCACTACCATAATTTAGGCCTTTATGACTTTTTACCTATATCCATGCCACCCAATGTTTGGTCCTTCACCAGCAGCATCTGTATCACTTTGGATTATGTCAGAAATGCAGAAACTCAGGCTTAACTTTAGACATACTGAATCAGATCCCCTGGTAACTTGTCTGCCAATAGAGTTTGAGAAGTGCTAGACTAGACTACATCCTAGATAACTCCTAACTGGAATCTCTGACTCTAGCCTCTGTTTCCCTTTCATCCATCCCACAGATCACAGTCCTAAACATTTCCTTCTGATTGTGTCATTCTCTCTGAACTCAAACCCCTGTAATGACTATACTAAGGAATAAAGTCCATACCTCTGAGAAAATAAGGCTCTCAGCCACCTAATCTATTTCCCTAGACTGTATACCCTATTTCACTAATATTCTCTGTATTTCAGGCCAACATAACAAAAAATGCAGTATGGCACTTATAGAAAAGAATTTTAACCAGGTGTCACTTTTAGTAACAGTAAGTCTGGTTCCATGAACTCAGGCATTATAGTGGTCCTCTCAAATTCTGGATCCCTTGTATGCAAAATAAGTAAGTCAGACCAGCCCTGTGCCTTGAAGCTTTGTTGACTGCAATCCACAGTAAGAAATACATACACATCCAGCATTTATCTCCATACATAAATATAAGTATGGTTACAACCAGAACAAAAGTTGCACAAAATAATATTTGCTCTAAGTGAAATGCATTATAATGTTTTCTATTCGCTTCTCATTCATTTTATTTTGTTTTTAAAATGCTGGTTGCTAATCACCAAATTGATTTTATGACCCACTCATTGGTAAGAACCTGTAGACTGAAAAACACTGTAGTGCTTCTAGCCCTAACAGGGCAGAACTCAGGGTCCCTCTTCCTTAAGCACATCCTTGACTTCCCACTCTGTGCCTTTTCTGAGAGCATTCCCTCCCCCAGGACCATCTTGTGCTATTCCAGCCTCTTCAAATGCAGTGCATCTTTTAAAGCTTGAAACTTTTCCAGCAGTCTTCTTTGCAAGTCTACAGTACCAGGTCTCATTTCTTACTTGGCATAATTCACAAATGTCCCACGGTAACACCAGTGTATATATCTTATCTTCTGTTTTTAGGTGCAAGGTCCTGAAGGTCAGGAATCATGCCTGTATCTTTTTATCATTGTCATCATTTTGGACAGTGTCTGGTTATGTAAGTCACTCAGACCTGAAAACCTGTCCTTCTCCGTTATCTTTCTTCTGCCTGGTCTTCTGTTTAATCAACACTCCGGTTCCTTGGCCCTTCCATCCTCTACTGAGCAACTGCTTAGCTTCACTTCCTATCTTCAGTTTAGACACTGTCTAGAAGCTGCTGACCATCACTTTAGCAATCTCCTCATCTCCTCTTGCTTACCTGGCTTTTCTTTTCACGGGTCTGGTAAAACTAACTCTGGATCAGTCCAAATGTTTACTTTCTCCAATTGTCCTCCATTCAAATTGCTAAACACTGACATAAAAAAATAAATCCCATCGTCATGCAGATGAGTTAATGGACTTCATCCTTAGCAGAGTCCTCAACAGACTAGACATTCCTTCTTGGTTTCCCTGGTTAGTTCGTTATCTCATCATCCATAGTTATATTATTTTTTTTTTCCCACTCTACAGGTTTTGTCCTCAATCTTCCCTACCAGACCCAAGACTAGGTTAGGTCCACTCACCATGTATTTCCATAATATTCTTAGTTAACGTGTATATAGTTCTTAGTACTGCACTTCAAACTGCCTAGTTGAGTCCATGTATCTTATTTCACTTTAGGCTCATTGAAAATAAGAAACATAACTTGTTATTAAAACTATAGAACTTAATATAACACTGAGTACTCAGTATTTCTTGAGTGAATGAATAAATGAATACATAAATATTAGTTCAATGAATAAATATATCCTATACAAATCTCATATGGTTATTCTAAGAGTTGATCAATTAATTAATGCCAATAAAACCTTAGGGAGTAGAAAGTATGAAATATAAATGACTTCTAAAATTTATAATGTAGAATTACTGCTAGTTAAGCATTTACTATTATTTCTATTCTAATGACTGAGAAAATGGAATTTAGTCCCATATGTATAATAGGATCCACTAGAACAAGCAATGCAAATTTTATCATGGGCCACAGTAGTCTCCCATGAAAAAGGCATTTATTTTATGAAGACCTACCTTAATTTCTTTTCTTTTAATATAATCCTTTTTAATTAGTTTATATTTCTGAGGACACCTTGACATGATGTTGATGACTGACAGGGTTACATTACCCAGAAAATAGCTAGATATTGCTCCAGTTCTCAAGGGACAACTATTTATTTATTTGATGTTTCTCTAAAATATCAGTGAGGACCATCTCTTATTTGGTGTCATGGTACTTGGCTATGTGATGTAAATCTGTTTCCAAATTCTTCTGTTGTAGCTGGACTATGGTGGTGCATGCCTGTAACCCAGCAGCTTGGGAAGCTGAGGCAGGAGGATTGCGAGTTCAAAGCCAGCCTCAGCAAAGGTGAGGTGCTAAGCAACTCAGTGAGACCCTGGCTCTAAATAAAATACAAAATAGGGCTGGGGATGTAGCTCAGTGGTGAGTGCCCCTGAGTTCAATCCCTAGGACCAAAAAAAAAAAAAAATCTGCTATGGACAGGAAAGCCTGACCTTTGCAGTACTCACCCTGACGTTGTGAGGATGAAGCCCTCCTGGATGCTGAGACATATACTGGGCCAGGTCTGTGTGCTGAATGGAGCAGCAGAGGAAGAGAAGACAAGAGTGAAGTCAGGGGTGCTGGGATGTTGTCCTAAAGCAGACCACAGACCTGACCATGAAGGACGAATGATGAAGTTAAGGATTTTGAGACCAAGGTGTTAAAGGAATATAACCAGGTTTTCTGAGACTACACTGTTAAGGTCAAACACAATGTGTCTTTCTGACAGGCTGCTTATAGAAGGAAGCCTGTTTCTTGGCACAAATGGAGATGCTCATTATGAATGACTGGCACTGAACACAACACAGGAATTTTTCACCCTCCAAGGATCCTTGGAGGCAAGGCAAGTACATGCGCCTTGTGATTTCTTTTTGCTCATTTGAATCTTTTTCTTTTAAAAGTACAAAATGAGTTGTTCTTTAATAAGCTTACATATAATTTTAAAATATTTGTGACATATCTTGGTTATCAATGAAATAAATGTTGGGTTCTGCTCAACTAGTGATTAAAAATAGGTTGTTTTTAAAGGGCAAAATTTTATGTAGAAGGCAAATTCAAAATCCTAGTTTATTATTGGTGGAGACAGGAAAAGAGACAGCAAAAATAGTGGACAAGGAAGCCAAGTGTGGTGGCACATCCCTGAAATCACAGCAACTTGGGAGGCTAAGGCAAGAGGATTGCAAGTTTGAGGCCAGATTTAGAAATTTAGAGAGACCCTGTCTCAAAATTAAAAATAAAAAGGGCTAGGGTGTGGCTCAGTGGTACAGCAACCCTGGGCTCAATCCCTAGTATCAAAAAAATAAAAAATAAAAAGAGTGGACAAAGAAGCTGGACTAAAGATGGATACAGGAACATTAAGGCTTCACAAATCACAATATAATGGAAATTTCCATGCTCCCTTCCACATTGTAATGAAAGTTTTACCATGCCATAAAATATTAACAGATTCATTATACAAGCACCAGGCCTCTCCTTCATGTGTTATAAAATGCTGGATAACTCACCATGTATTCAAAAACGAATGTCAGGGTCTCTTTGGTGTGAATTATGTCATGCAGAAGCACAATATTGGCGTGTTTCAAGCCCTTCAGGAGAGACGCTAGAAAGATTAAACAAAATATTAAATCAATCACTGATAACGAAAGTCCTGTTTTAAAAGCTATCAAGCCGTATTTATTTTTTAAAACGTTTCAAATCAAGCATTCTGTTTTCTTACAGCAAGAAATAAATCTCTCTGGAAAGAATACTTAAAATGACAAAGTCCATTATTTTTTAAATGGTAAAATCACTGCATATATACAACTTATCATTCTTACAGGCTAGAATGGTTGCAAAATCTGTTTCTGTTTACCTCATCAATTTCATCAAAGCACTCAGAGCACTTTGTGAATGCTCTCCTCTGGGAATCTCATCATCCCTGCTCCACAGCAATAGGAGTAGGGGCCTGGAGAGATAAAGGCCGCTGGGAGAGCAGGAAATAGATTGTCTGCCTTCTAGAGCAGGACTTTGCAACGTAGGACTGGTTTCAAAATGCAAAGTCCTGCTAGTGGTCAACAGGGTCAGTGGAGGTGATTATAACTGGGAAGCATAGGGCGAAGATTTGTTGAGGCATATTAGAGAGTGGAAAGGCTTTCTTAGGGAATGTCGCATACCACTGTGGAAAGACAAAAAATGCAAACTTGAAAAGAGAGAGCCGACTTGGGAAGTCAGGGGAAGAGAGGGGAAGGGCCCATGAGTTTCTTGACTCTTCAATCACAGGTTGCTCTTAGATGGCTAAAGGCAGCCCTTTAAAAGGGAGAAGTAATCACAAAGGCCAGGAGTGGCTGGGAACAGAGTTGAAAGGCTATCATTGAGGGCTCTAGAGATAGGAAGACCCTGTCTTCAGGAGAGCAAAAACCAGAAAAGCCACCATAAAGAGATGATAAGTCTCAGCTCAGGGCATTCCTGAATGAATAAATAGTGTCTTTAAGATTTAAAAGAAGGCTGGGATTGTGGCTCATCGGTAGAGCGCTCGTCTAGCATGGGTGGGACTCAGGTTCGACTATCAGCACCACATAAAAATAAAGGCATTGTGTTGTGTCCATCTACACCTAAAAAATAAATAAATATTTAAAAAAAATACTTAAAAGAGGGTTGGGATGCAGCTCAGTGGTAGAGCACTTGCCTAGCATGTGTGAGACCCTGGATTCAACCCCCATCATTGAGGAGAGAGAGAAGGAGGAAAGAAAAGAAATGTCAGTATAAAAGTTCTGTAGGATACAACTGCATTTCACAAATCTCTTGCACCAACTCCCTCCTAGTATAGAATTCCCTAAGATTAAAAACAAGCAAACAAACTTAAGTACTCAAATTGGGGAACAAAGTTATTTCCTGCATGAATCTTATCCAGTTATAATGAATCCTTATTACAGCCCTCTGACAGCCATTCTCCCTTCTAATGGGGACACCTCTGTTTTTCTCTGTTTCAACCCTCTTCTGACTTAGTCCATGCCCTTCTGTTGTGGCTGACTTCACTTCCATTCAATGTGGGCATACAACCCAACCAGAGATCAGCCCCAGTGATGGATGATTGGTTCAGACACAGGCACAAAACCCAGGCCTGGGAGAGCCCTACTTTGGTGGTACCATCAGGAAAGAGGTGCTTTCTTTTCTACCGTGAGAAATGAATTTGTGGGATTTAGCCAGGAATTGCTGGTACCAAATTACCAACACCTGGTGACAGCAGGCCTAGGAATAAAACTAAGGCAGAGAAAACCAATGTTGAGTGATGGAGATACGTGGCTTCCCACCATCACTGTTTGTACCCTGCAAACCTTTAATTATCAGATCTGTGGGCTAGTGCATTTCCTTCTTTATTAAGTTGGTTGGAACTGGGACCCTCTTACCACCAAAGGAGTTCAAAATCCTATTATGCTCTAATTTATACTGTTTGCTCCCAAAGTCTTTTTGGACTAAATTCAGTATTTTGCTTTTACAAATGCACTGTTTTATAAATGTAATCAGCAAGTTCCACAGGCATCTGTTTCATTTCTCAAGTTCCAGACCAAAGACTACATGGGAATAGAGAGATGACTTTCTCTCTCTTTTGGATGCCCCACCACACCACCTATTAACACTCAGCCAGAGTAAGCACTTAATTTATCAAGCATATTTATTGAGTGTCTTAAGGGAGAACTGTCTGTGGAGCCAGAAGCCCTACATGAATCCTGGCCCTGTCACTTTCTATCTGAGTATCTCTGGAGAGTATCTCAACCCAAGTCTCCATGTAGCCACTCCCAGTGAAAAGTCCTATCAGCTTTCCTGACTTTACTCCGCAGGATTGATACGAGGATGGACTCCGCTCCCTTTTGCAGAACGCTTGGAAAGCATTACTCAAAGGCAAATTCAAATTAATGTCCTCAAATCTGCTTCTCTATGCCCCTTTCACACTGAACCTATTAAACCCCCACACCCAGTCTTAAAGTCTTGCTTTTGGTATGTTTCTGCAAGAGTTTTCAACACTTTCTGTATTTATAACCATGACTTCTGACTATTTACTGAGAATGCTTGTATTTTATGTATATTTTTACTTATAAATTGTTTCACAATTTTCCCCTCTTATACACATACAATCGCACACACACCACACACACACACACACACACACACACTACAAAGTATGTATCAAAATTAGATATTAGGGGCTAGGAGTGTGGCTCAGTGCTCCAGTGCTCTTGCCTAGCATGCACAAAACCCAGGACTTGATACCTAGCACCCAGTGTTCTTGCCTAGCATGTACTAAGCCCTGGACCTGATCCCTAAAAAAAAAAAGGACATGGTAAAGCTGACATTGCTAAGAATATTAAGATTTTTAATACAATTTTAGTCTTAATTATATTACTAAAACCCCTTATGCTTATTTTAAAAATCATGATTGTATGTTTTATTAATCATGATGACTTCAAACTATCATTTGCTAAAAAGCTCAAGGAATGATATCTACTTGGATGAGACTACTAAAAACATGAATATAAATCTTTATTTCATGTAATTTTCTTGATTATTTTACTTATTAGGAACTCTGCCATTTCTCTGTTTTGATTTATATTTGTCTGATTAGTTTTATCTACAGGTCACAGTTTCTTTTATTTTATTTTTTTAGTTGTAGTTGGACACAATACCTTTATTTTACTTATTTATATTTATGTGGTGCTGAGGATCGAACCCAGGGCCACGCATGTGCTAGGCGAGCGCCCCACCACTGAGCCACATCCCCAGCCCTTACAGGGCACAGCTTTTTTTGCAGAAATATTTTTAAGCCATTCATTCATTTTATGAAGGTTCGCTGCTCTGGCAAATGGCTACTTCTCTCTACTCTTTTTTTCCCCACACCCTCACCCAATCCATCAGCAAATCTGTTGGCAAGACTTTCAAGACATTCCAGAAGCCCTCACGGGCCAGGTCCTCTGCACTCTTCCTGAGCCAAGTCACCATCCTACCCTGGCAGAACTGCTGTAAATGCCTCCTAACTGGTCCCCCTGATCCTACCATCTCTTCCACAGCTAACCACTGGAATCCTTCACTGGAGAGGGATCCACACCCTGCAGTGACCTTTCATCTCACTCAATAAAATCCAAAGTTCCTGCTCTGGCCAGCCCCACCTCTGCTCATCCAACCATGCCCATCACTCCTGGGCATCTCCTCACACTGCCACCCTGGCTTGCTGGGCTTTAGCCACATTGGCCCCCTACCTATTCCTGGGGAACTTGCAAACACAATTCTTCTCTGAAGTCTCAGGTTTGCAATCCTTTTACTTGCCACTCTCTTTCCTCAGCTCTCTACACACTTCCTTTAGGATTTTGGCCAGATGATACACATTAGGTCTGGGCTTCTTTGGCCACTGTAGATGAAAAAGCAGCTCTCTACCCCATCCCACCCCAGTAGGCCTCTATCCCTGGACCCTGCTTCATTCTTTCCCATAGCACTTACCAGCACCAGACACAAAATACATACATGCACACGTGTATATACATGCACACATACATTTACTGTCTGCCTTGATCCTTGTGAATATAATATTCATCAACAATAGGGACTTTTATCTTTTTTTGCTTATTGCTGTGTCTAGGGTACACAGAACAACATCTGGTATATTCATATTATCAATAAATTCCACCCATTGTTGGCTGGTAGAGAGTGTTTCTGATTCAGATCCTTTTATTCCTTGTTTCTTTAGTCTTCTCCCTCCCAAATGTTCTGCTTTACGGCCATGTCTATTACGGATATTTTTTAATATATTTATTTTTCAGTTGTAGGTAGACACAATATCTTTATTTTATTTATTCATTTTTATGTGGTGCCGAGGATCAAACCCAGGGCCTCACACTTGCTAGGCTAGCTCTCTACCTCTGAGCCACAACCCAGCCCCTACTAGTGCTTTTTTAATGCCTGAGACTACTGAAATAGCTATGTGGAAACTGAATTTTACTGAGTAATTTATAGGGAGTTTGCATGAAAGAGCCCATAATGTTTAAAGCTTTTATCTTGTGGTGGCATTGGTATGTGGTTGAGTGTATGCACTACAGGACCAAAAATGTCTTTAGCTTCAAATATGAGAGTCTCAAACCCAGGGAAAAACAGTCTTTCTTCAAATTTCAAGGACATCTTATAATCTTTGCAGTAGGATGTAATGCCTGTTCTGCAGACTAAACATATTGAGGATGAAAAAGTCAACTGAGAAAAAGGGAGACAGATCCTAAAATCAGCATTCTGATTCTGGTAAAATTGCTGTTTTCATAATCATATTTCAAGTATTATCTATCTATCTATCTATCTATCTATCTATGTAACTGGGGATTGAACCCAGGGGTGCTCTACTTCTGAGCTACATTCCCCAGCCCTTTATCTTTATTTATTTTTAAATTTTGACACTATTCTCACTTAGTTGCTGAGGCTGGCCTCTAACTTGTGATCCTTCTGCCTCAGTCTCTCCAGTAGCTAGGATTACAGGCTTGTGCCACTGTGCCTGACATTATTTTTGTTTTTCTTCAACAAAAAGACACACAAATAAATGGGGTGCAGGGTGCTTAAAGCTCCAGACAAGTCACAATGGGGTTTATT